CATGCTTGGCCCCGGGCCTATCTCTTGCCCTTCGGCGGACACCGAAGGCATTGCCAGAGAGGAGGGTCCTGGAGAGGGAGGCCTTGCCAACTCCTCTCCTTCACTCTCTGAGTCCTCTCCTGCCGATGACACAGGCTCAGGTAACGGAGCCACAACAGATGGTATCAAATATAAGAAGGACAAAGGCAATATTTCTATGGACGTAATACCCAGAAATTTCAGTTAACTTTAGCACTCAAATGTCTTCACATTTGGTGGTATATAAATAAGCATTACCCACCTCCCCCAATAATATGTGATGTGATAATACCACTTTATAATGCCTTGGTAAGGCCACACGTGGAATACTACATCCTGTTTAGGTCACCACAATATTTAAAAAAATATGTTGAGATTCTACAAAGAGTGCAGAGAAGAGCAACAAGGATGATTAGGGAGCTGGTGGATGAAACATACGAAGAACAATTGCAGGAATTAGGTATGTGAAAAAAAGGAACTAGGGATGACATGGTAGCAGTGTTCCAATATTTGAGGGTCTGCCAGAAAGAAAAGGGCGGGTTAACTGTTAACCTATTCTCCATCATCAGACGCTTTTCTTTTTTTTTTACTTTTAAAAGCATTTTTTCGGCCGAAGTTGTAGAAAAAATGCTTAAAAAAGAAAAAAAAAAAAAAGCGCCTGATGTTTGGGCGGCGCAGCTGGGCATGGGGGGGGGGCGTGGATTTTTGCTACCGGTTCTCTGAACCACCCGCCTCCATCGCTACCGGATCAGGCAAGCCGGTCCGAACCTGGAGCATTTCACCCCTGCAAGGGAGGTACTAATACCACTCTATAAAGCCTTAGTAAGTCCACACTTGGAATACTGCCTCCGGTTTTGGTCACCACACTATAAAAAAGATGTTGAAACTCTAGAAAAAGTGCAGAGAAGAGCAACCAAGATGATTAGGGGACTGGAGACTAAAATATATGAAGAATGGCTTGGCATGGCTAGTCTAGTGAAGAGAAGGACCAGGGGAGAGATTATAGCAGTGTTCCAATATTTGAGGGGCTGCCACAGAGAGGAGGAGGTCAAGCTATTTTCCAAAGCACCAAAAGGCAAGATAACAAACAATGGATGGAAACTGATCAAGGAGAGATTCAACCTGGAAGTAAGGAGAAATTTTCTGACAGTGAGAACAATCAACCAATGGAACAGAAGTTGCCTTTGGAAATTGTGGGAGCTTCATCACTTGAGACTTTCAAGAAAAGATTTGACTGCCATTTGTCAGAAATGGTGCAGGGTCTCCTGCTTAGGCGGGGGTTGGACTAGATGACCTATAAGGTCCCTTCCAACTCTGTTAATCTGTTACCTCCAAGATCTCTTCCAACTCTGTTACTCTGTTACTCCTTGATTATCTTCAGCTCATTTCGTCCAGCCAATAACTAAGATGTGACTCTAGCACAAAAGGTTAGTTTAACATGGAGTGCAGTAAAAGTGTAATGATGCCCATGGGGTTTGTTTGTTTTTTTTTTTGCTAAATTACACATCCAGAGATTCAAAGGACACATGATTAGTGCAATGACATTTATAAGTCTTCACACTGAAATTGATTTGATGTCTTTTAAAACTTTGACTTAGATGGCTATTCTTAAGGACAAACTGCACATTACATTACTTATTTATTTATTTTATTATTAACATTTATATGCCGCCCTTCTCCCGAAGGACTCGGGGCGACTCACACAAACAAAACAACAACAATAACACCTAAAACCAATATAAAAATTAAAATCCCCAAAATTAAAACCTCGTAGTTGATCAGGGAGTTTGCTGGAACAGCCGTGTCTTCAGGCCAGCGCGGAAAGTGCGGAGATCGGGAGCATGAATTACATATTGTGCAACTTCTGTTCTAATTTTAATTACTTCAAAGTACCTATGCAGCTGTGTTGATCCATATCAGGATCTTTTCAGAGAGGGAGAAGAGTTTTAACCCTTTCCTCTCTAGCTTATCCCCAGGGAACATTTTAAAATGAATCGTGGTGGCACGGTGGTTAAAATGCAGTATTGCAGGCCACTTCTGCTGCCTGCAATTTGGCAATTCCAAATCTCACCAGAATCAAGGTTGACTCAGCCTTTCATCCTTCCGAGGTGGGTAAAATGAGGACCTAAATTGTTGGGGGAAATATGCTGACTCTGTAAACCGCTTAGAGAGGGGCTGTAAAGCACTGTGAAGCGGTATATAAGTCTAAGTGCTACTGCTAAAAGGAAAGAAAAATTGACTCAATTGACTTTTCCTTTTTTTTCCTTTTCTTTTTTTTTTAAGTTTAAAAACAAACTTTATTGAATTTAAAAATATTAACAAACAAAACGAAAAGAGAGAATATACAAATTTTCTCTCTCTTAAAATTTACATTTTCGATCCATAATTACACTAACAAACTAAGTACATATAATTGTATAAACACGTATATACAAATCTACAAACAGTGACTTATTTACTTTTACTATCTATCTGACGGTGCTTTTTTTTTTTTTTTTTTTGCATTTCCTCTAATTCTTATCTTTACCCTTTTTTCCTTTGGTTTATCCACTTATACCATCTATTCCATACTATAAAATATTTTGAGTCTTCCTTATCTTTTAATTCTAGAGTTAACTTATCCATTTCTGCGCATGTATAAATTTTTTGTATTACTTCCTGATCTGTTGGCATACGATCTGTTTTCCACAATTGTGCTATAGCCAATCTGGCTGCCGTAATTGACTTTTCCAAAGGTGTTTTTTTCAAGAAGCAACTGGACTTTCTGTTTTTTCCTTGAAGATGTTTTGCTTCTCATCCAAGAAGTTTCTTCAGCTCTGACTGGATGGTGGGGACTCAGAGCTGAAGAATGATGAGAAGCTTAGATGAGAAGTGAAACATCTTCAAAGAAAAACCAGGAAGTCCAGTTGCCTCTTGAAAAAGCACCTTTGGGACAACCTGGATAACTGAGAATCTCTATAGACAGGGTGGTTGGAAGAGATTACACTCCAAAAGATAGATTTTAAACCAGAGATGTTCCTCCTAGGAATGATTGATAGAAAAACGGAAAAAAATCTCTATTATATTATATTGCATATTCTAACAGCGGCCAGAATTACTCTAGCACAATGTGGAAGTTGACCAATACACCATCAGAAGAAACAATAATAAAGATAATCCTCGAATGCGCCGAAATGGATAAATTAACAATGGAGATCAAAGAAAACTCGGATTATTATAAAGTGTGAAATAGGTTTTATACATGATTGGAAAACAGAAATCAAATTAAGAAATAAGAATATAAAGTGAAATTTGATATCAACATACTGGATATAAATGTAAATAATGATCCTGCTAACAAAACAGTTCATTATGAATATTTAAAAATAAAGAGAAGGAGCGGGAGGATAAAAGCTAAGAGTAAAGACAAAAGTCGATGCAGAAAGTTGTAAAATTGTATATATCTGTTCTTAGTATTGTATTTTAACGTCTGATATGCGCGTGTTTTTGTTTTTTGTTTTTGTCTCTTATTTCTTTTGCTATTGTGTGTTTGGTTTTAAAATGTAAAATACTCAATAAAAATTATTTTAAAAAAGAGAGCGAGAGAATCTCCATAGACAATGGAGATTCTCAATTGACTTTTACTTTACAAAGAAAAAAACCACACACATAGAAATGGCTAATGTTTATAGGAATGAATTAAAATATATTTCCTTATGCTCCAAGATTTGATCCCAAATGTTTAGTTGACTAGATTAATATCAGACACAAAGGATCAGGACCATACATTAAGTTGTAGTTCAACAAGATTCACTGCACAAGCCCATAAACAAGATCTAGTCAACTAAAGCTCAACACCAAATTGGCATCAGATAAAAGTCAACAACATTCAAGAGGAGTTGAACTTGGAGCATTTGTGGCAATGTAACATCTCTAAGCTGATGATGCACTTCACTCCATCATCCAACTCTGCCTGATCTTCTCTTACCCTGCAATGTACTAGATCTGTGTCTTTGAAGATAGTCTACAAACCACCCCCAACACTCTAGTTCCGTGATGGCGAACCTCCGGCACGCATGCCACAGGTGGCACGCAGAGCCATATCGGTGGGCATTCGAGTGTTGCCGTAGCTCAACTCCAGCATACATGCCCACTGGAAATCGGGAAACGGGCTGTTTCCGGCCTCCGGAGGGCCTCTGGGAGGGTGGGGAAGGCCATTTTCGCCCTCCCCAGGCTCCAAGAAAGCCTCTGGAGCCTGGGAGGAGAGAAAAACAAGCCTACTGGTCCCACCAGGCCAAAAGCGGGAGGGTGGGGTGGCTTGCGCGCGCATGCACGGGGGGGTGGGGTGCATTGAATTATGGGTGTGGGCACGCACGCGCGCACACACCCCTGCGTTCCCCCCACTTTTGGCACACAACGGCAAAAAGGTTAGCCATCACTGGTCTAGTTTGAACATCTCTGAACCAAGTTTCATTAAGGGCCAGACTGTTTCTAAGCCCAAATATAGAAGTTGGTGCTTCTCTACTGGGTCAGCCTAGAATTGATTTGATATCTACCCACACTTCTCTTAGATGCCTATTCTTAAGGATGGACCACGTTCAATTAAAAAGAAGCTAAGAGTACCGATATGTGGTGGCTCAATGGCTAAGGCGCTGAGCTTGTCGATCAAAAGTTTGGCAGTTCAGTGGTTCGAATCCCTAGTACCGCATAATGGGGTGAGCTCCCGTTCCTTGTCCCAGCTTCTGCCAACCTAGCAATTCGAAAGCATGTAAAAAATGTAAGTAGAAAAATAGGGGCCACCTTTGATGGGAAGGTAACAGCATTCCGTGCGCCTTTGGCGTTGAGTCATGCCGGCCACATGACCACAGAGATGTCTTTGGACAGTGCTGGCTCTTCAGCTTTGAAACAGAGATGAGCACCGCCCTCTAGAGTCGGGAACAACTAGCACATATGTGCAAGGGGAATCTTTACCTTTACCTTAAGAGTCCTTCTTGTCTTTGCAGCTTGAATACACAGCAAGGCTTGACTTTCTGTGGCGTGGCCAGGCCAAAGAAGAAATCAACGAGATGAAGGAATTAAGAGAACACAACGAAAACATGCTACGCAATATCCTGCCAAGCCACGTGGCCCGTCACTTCCTGGAAAAGGATCGAGATAATGAAGTACGTAAGAACTGGGTTCTAGTAATGGACATGGCAAAAAAAGCTAAGCTTCTTTTTAGAGTTTGCTTTCTGGTTTTAATAATAAAGGTTCTGGTTTAATAATAAAGGCTGTCAAGAAGAATGGATAGAGCCTTGAGGAAAGTAATGTGGCACCCTTTGCCAAAACATCAGCTTAACCCAGAAAGACAGGAAAGGTTGAGGAAGAAACTCAAAACTGACCTGTCTTGATGCAGGGGAGGAAAAGAGAATCTTTATCAGGCTGTCAACATTCTGTCATTGTACCTTAAAACACATCCTTTTTTTAAAAAGGGGGGGGAATCCTCTATAAATATTGGAATAGCCCACCTTCTGGAGTTTGTGGGGGTTCCATTCTTTTTTTTTTTTAATTTGATTTATATGCCGCCCTTCTCCGGAGACTCAGGGCGACTTACAATGCGCTAAGCAATAACCTTCATCCTTTTGTATATTTTATACAAAGTCAGCTTATTGCCCCCACAAACTGGGTCCTCATTTCACCTACCTTAGAAAGGATGGAAGGCTGAGTCAACCTTGAGCCTTGGAGAGATTCGAACCAGCAGAAATTGCAGGCAGCTGTGTTAATAACAGGGTGCATATACCACTGTACTATCAAGGCTCTTGAACATTTTCAGACAAAGTTTGGACAGTAGAATCCAGTAGAAACCAAGGATTCATTACCCAACTAGGTAACATCATCAGTCTGGTGAGAGTGGGGTTTGCTCCATTTATATATGGTAATTGCTTTGCCAGTATTGATAAGGGTGTGGTCTCCTTGGTCATTCCAAGCAAAATGACTTTTTGTTATTTGTATCGGAAGCACCTACAGATTATAGACATAGGAGAACTAAGAACCATCAGAAGGTTGGGCCACAGTTTGTCCAGGATGATATCCAGATTTCTGCCCTGGGCAAAGGATTAAATTATGTTTTTTTTATGTTGTAAACTGTCCATAGTCACTAGATATGAGATGAGTGGCAGATAAATTTTAGAAATAAATAAATGAAATAAATTAGAAGCTGTCAAGGTCCCTTCCAAGCCTGCGATATTAACTCTTTCCTGCCCTCTGAAGTAGCTACAGTATATAAGGTAGAAGACATCACCTGCTTCCTTATGGTAAGCCACAGGCAGGAGTGGGCTTCAAAAATTTTAGCAAGGGGTTCTCTGTCTGGCTGCTGGGTGGGCATGGCCATGGTGGGCGTGGCCTAGTTGGCCCCCTGCAACACAGCGGGGGGGGTTGTTTGCCCTCCCCGGGCTCCGGAGGCTTTCCTTGAGTCTCCAGGAGGGGAAAAACGGTGTCCCCAGGCTCCGGAGGCCCTCTGGAGGCTGGAAACAGGCCCATTTCCGGCCTTCCCGAACTTCCGGTAGGCCCGTTTTTCACCCTCCCCAAGCCTCCACGCAACCCTGCACTTACCTGCATCCAAAATTGGCCAGGTGGGGACTCCTGGGAGGGATGGGGTGGGCGAGGCCAGCCAGAAGTGGGATTTGGGGGTTCTCAGAACTGCACAGAATCTTAGCTAGAGGTTCTCTTGAACCCCTGCGAACCCCCAGCAGCCCACCCCTGGCCACATGTGTTCTTAGCACTGAAAGCATACTTGCTATTTGCAAGAGTAATTCTGTAACGCTGCCTTTGATCTCTCTCCCCGACCTCCCACCCCAACCCACCCAGGCTTTTCCCCCTCCTGCTGTTACATTGAATAATCATACCTGCAGAGAGGTTCTGCATCAGCTGCCTGGATCATTCAAGGTTCAATACAGTAAACACTTATTTACGTAATATGCTAACCTCCCTCTTCCCCAGGGAAGTGAATAGGGAAATGAATGCTTTCCTTTCTGCACAGATTGGCTTAAGGCTCGCCGCATGAAAGCTTCCGAATCAATAAAACAAGCGACTGCAAACAGATTGCATTTCAACCTTTCCCAGCCTCTCCAGATGTGTGGGCAGCTCCTGTTTGATCCGCAGTTATGTAAGGGAGTCAGGTGTTTTATAGGGTGTTAATTCTTAGACTTTGCCTTTTTGGGAACTAAAATTAGATTTTGTCAGATTTCCCAAGTAGGCCAGACAGGGCTACATGAGCTAATTCTACCTAATTGTAAGGTCACATTGTCACAATCTTGCAAGTCTGAAAGTACAAATCTCCCGCTGTCTTCTTTACAGTCTGAGAATTTGGGGAAAGAGGGTGTCACTTCACTGTTTTTTCTCCACCCATTATGCAGCTGTGGGCCATGGCAGCAGTCCCCAACCTTTCCAGTTGGGTGGCCCAGCCTAGGGGGTGAGGAGAGGGGGCATGTGAGTGGCAGGTGCACACACACAGTTCTATTTGTGTGAGCAGCGGACACACGCACTCTCTGCTTCCGCGAGAGAAGAGAAGAGAATCAAGATCATGTGAAGTACTAGTACCACTTTACAAAGCCTTGGTAAAACCACACTTGGAATACTGCATCCACTTTTGGTCACCACAGTACAAAAAAGATGTTGAGACTTTGGAAAGAGTTCAGAGAAGAGCAACAAAGATGATTAGGGGACTGGAGGCTAAAACATATGAAGAACAGTTTCAGGAACTGTGTATGTCTAGTTTAATGAAAAGAAGGACTAGGGGAGACATGATAGCAGTGTTCCAATATCTCAGGGGCTGCCACAAAGAAGAGGGAGTCAAGTTCTTCTCCAAAGCACCTGAGGGCAGGACAAGAAGCAATGGGTGGAAACTAATCAAGGAAAGAAGCAACTTAGAACTAAGGAGAAATTTCCTGACAGTGAGAACAATTAATCAGTGGAACAATTTGCCTCCAGAAGTTGTGGATGCTCCAACACTGGGAGTTTTTAAGAAGATGTTGGACAACCATTTGTCTGAAGTGGTGTAGGGTTTCCTGCCTAAGCAGGGGTTTGGACTCGAAGACCTCCAAGGTCCCTTCCAACTCTTATTCTATTCTATTCTGTTCTGTTCTGTTCTGTTCTGTTCTGTTCTGTTCTGTTCTGTTCTACTCTACTCTACTCTACTCTACTCTACTCCACTCCACTCCACTCCACTCCACTCTACTCTACTCTCTACTCTACTCTACTCTACTCTACTCTACTCTACTCACAATGCATGCTCATACAACATTCAATAGCCACTGTGCACACTCATTGGTGTTTGTGATCTTCTGTTCTTTGCGGTTATTTACTGATGGCGATGTGGAATATTTCAACCAAGTACCCTCATCCCTGTTCCTGGTTGATGCTATTTTGTTTGTATAAGGATCAGCACCCCAACCATGAGCTTACCAGCGATAGATTCTAAATATAGATGCATTTGCCCTGGGAAGCTAGCAACAAGTTCCCACAGTGATCACGATCAAGAAATGTGTATGCAAAAAACAAACTGTTCTACCAACAGAAGAGAATTTTTGTAGCTCCAGGTTCAACTGTGGGCTCCTTAATGCTCTCTGAGCTTGGTGGTTTTCTTGTAGATGCTTCACTACCCAATGGTAGGTAGCATTATCAGTGCTAGATGGTTAACCTCCAAACAAACTCCTAATTCTTCTTGGATGTTTAACCATGTGTTGTAAGATTGAACCTCAGGCCAACCGGCGTGGTTTCTTGAAGGTTAGATTGATGAGCAAATTAAATAAATGGCTTCTCTTCTGCAAGCGAGGTTGCAAGCTGGCCCTGTAGAACAGCCTTCTCCTGGAGATCAGGATAGTGCCAACTCTTGACATTTCATAACATCTTAAAGCCTAGATGTTCCTACAGAAACTGTGGTTGGGAGGTTGAGGAAGCACCATTGGCTGTTCAATGATTGTTGTAACGATGATGTGATTTTTTTTTTATAGCCTCTGAATATATTTTGGCTTTTTAGCAGTGGTGAAATCCAATTTTTTTTTTACTACCAGTTCTGTGGGCGTGGCTTGGTGGGCGTGGTGTGGCTTGGTAGGCATGGCAGGGGAAGGATACTGCAAAATCTCCATTCCCACCCCACTCTGGGGCCAGCCAGAGGTGGCATTTGCTGGTTCTCCGAACTACTCAAAATTTCCACTACCGGTTCTCCAGAACCTGTCAGAACCTGCTGGATTTCACCCCTGCTTTTTAGTATATTCTTTTATGGACAGTTCTATTGTTTGTTTGGGTTTCATCTTCCTATATCACTAAGTATCACCTTGGTGAACACAGAAGATAGAATCATAGGGCTGGAAGGGGCCTTGGAGGTTTTCTAGTCCAACCCTCTACTTAAGGAGGAGATCTTATACCATCCTGGTCAAATGAGATAAGCAGCTACCTAAAGCAAACAAATAAGCACTTTTCTTTTTCCTTTTTGCAACCCTGTAATCCTTAATTCGGGGTTGAGTCGGGGTTGAGCTGAGCATTTACTGGCCGGATGCCCTTCGTGACACCTATACGGAGTTCACAGCAGATATTTTCTCTTAGCTCCCTGATAGAGAAACATCTGCCATTGCCTAGGACTGAACTCTCAACCTTCCAAGTGGGAGGCGAGCATCTTCACCTCTAGGCCACCACGCCGCTCAAAATAAGCACATATTAACAGCAAGAAAAAACATGCCCGTGTCCTCCCCTGCAAAATTTCCCTTAACGGCATCTTTTTTTCTCCTCTGCTCTTCTCCTCATTTCTAGGATCTCTACTCTCAGTCCTACGATGCTGTTGGCGTCATGTTTGCCTCTATCCCCGGTTTTGCCGACTTCTATTCCCAGACTGAAATGAACAACCAGGGCGTGGAATGCCTACGACTGCTGAACGAAATCATCGCTGACTTCGACGAGGTAATTTTGCAACCTTTAAGACCCGGAGAGGGAGGGAGAGAGATTCAAGGAACAGCTGGCCAAGCCAATAGGCCCTGGCATTTTGTCAGCCAATTGATTACATTAACCTCTGCGTTTGTGCCATTTTAGCTAGCAGCTAATCTCTTTTTAATTCTGAGGCACACAGTCTGGTTTCAGGATGGAGATGAGTCCAGCTTGAGTAGATGGTGGAAAGCAGCTAGGATAATATCTCCAATATTTCAGGAGCTGCCACAAAGAAGAGGGAGTCAAGCTATTCTCCAAAGCCCCTGAGGGCAGGACAAGAAGCAATGGGTGGAAACTAGTCAAGGAGAGAAGCAATTTAGGGCTAAGGAGAAATTTCCTGACAGTTAGAACAATTAATCAGTGGAAAAACTTGCCTCCAGAAATTGTGAATGCTCCAACACTGGAAGTTTTAAAGAAGATGCTGGATAACCATTTGTCTGAAGTGGTGTAGGGTTTCCTGCCTAAGCAGGGGGTTGGACTAGAAGACCTCCAAGGTCCCTTCCAAGTCTGTTATTCTATTCAATTCTATTATCCAATTAAGAACAAGGATATGGGTTAAGGAAGCTGAAAAAAGAATGCCAGAAGCAATGTATTGAGACCTTCTGACAAACAAAGTCAATGGGGAACCCAGATTCCCTTAACAACCATGTTGCTAATTTAACAACTGCAGCGACTCACTTAACAAATGTGGCAAGAAAAGTTGTAAAACGGAGGCAAAACTCACTTCACAAATTTCTCACTTAGCCACATAAATTCTGGGCTCATTTGTGGTCGTAAGACCACCTGTATTCGTTTGAATTATTCTAAAGAGCCTTAGAAATAGATTTCTGCTTTGATTTTCCTCATTATCTGCCAATTAATTACCATCCAACTTCAATGTCTACCTAGGAAAGAGCCTAGATCAATGTTTCTCAGCCTTAGGAAATTCTAAGATGTGTGGACTTCAACTAGCCATGCTGACTGGGGAATTCTGGGAATTGAAGTCCACACATCTTCCAAGTTCCCAAGGTTGAGAAACACTGCCTAGATTGAAAAATAAAAGACAATCAATGGACACAATTCTCTCAAGGTCAGGAAAGAGATGATAGTTCTCTCATTCTTCACTGAATACTATCAAAAAAAATCTCAAAGGTCCAGTGGCATCATAATTTAATGAAGCAACCACATTTTATTATTATTATTATTATTATTATTATTATTATTATTATTATTATTATTTTAATTTGTATACCGCCCTTCTCCCAAGCGGACTCAGGGCGGTGAACAGCCAAAATTAAAATACATACAATACAAAAGTTAAGATAATTAAAAAAGATTAAATCAATCAGCCTCCCATTTTAAAACCCCCAAGTCTATAAAATTTTAAAAATCCCATTAAAAACCCTTTAGGCTAGGCCGGCTTGCTGGAATAAATAAGTCTTCAGGGCCTTACGGAAGGTCCGGAGGTCCAGGATCAGTCGTATTCCAGGAGGTAGCTCATTCCACAGGGCGGGTGCCCCCACAGAGAAGGCTCTCCCCCTGGGGGCCGCCAGCCGACATTGCTTGACCGACGGCACCCCAAGGAGGCCCTCTCTGTGAGAGCGTATTGGCCGGTGGGAGGTTATCGGTAGCAGCAGGCGGTCTCGTAAGTACCCTGGCCCTAAGCCATGGAGCGCTTTAAAGATGAGAACCAACAACTTAAAGCGCACCCAGAAGACCACCGGGAGCCAGTGCAGCTCGCGCAGGAGAGGTGTTACATGGGAGCACCACGTCGCTCCCATAATCACCCGCGCGGCCGCATTCTGGACCAGTTGGAGCCTCCGGGTGCTCCTCAAGGGGAGCCCCATGTAGAGAGTGTTGCAGTAGTCCAGGCGAGATGTGACAAGGGCATGGGTGACTGTGCATAAGGAGTCCCGATCCAGAAAGGGGCGCAACTGGCGTATCAGGCGAACCTGATAAAACGCCCCCCTGGCCACGGCCGTCATATGCTCTTCTAAAGACAGCCGTGTGTCCAGGAGGACACCCAAGTTGCGAACCCCCTCTGTGGGGGTCACTGACTCGCCCCCAATAGCCAGCGATGGCACCAGCTGGCTATATCGGGACGCCGGCATCCACAGCCACTCGGTCTTGGAAGGGTTGAGCTGAAGCCTGTTCCTCCCCATCCAGTTTAGATGTTCTGCAGGATTATAGAAAAGACCCCGGGTTGCTTATTTATTTCTCTCGCAACCTACATGGGCTGCTGAAAGGTTAAAGCATAAAAACCGCAATGCAATTAAAACCAGGCAATAAACCCAACCAACAGAATAATTAAACGAAGCTCATAAGCAACAAAATAGAGCCGCCACAAGCCCTCATTGTAACAACGAGCAACACTAATATTCCAACATCTCATGAAAACCTCCCTGGTAACATCTGTGTGGAAAGATGATTGCTACACAAGGATGCACAGATGTGCACAAGTTTATCGTTATTACTTTTCTCATGATCAGCCTGAATTGGGCAACTATAAACGGAAGGTTTTTTTCATTGAGGGTTATGGTCCGTGATCTATGATTTTGGTCAGTATGGGTGCCAGGGTTCCAAGTAACACCCCCCCCCCCCCCCAAATGAAAGAAAACTCCGAGACTTGAGTTTCCTCAAAGTTACATTTTATTAGAGATGTCATATTGGCACATCTGGGAAAACCCAAATCTGAAAGCTTCCAGGTTTTCCCCACCCAAAGGAAAGTCCAAGTCCCTTCCCCCTGCATCCACATGTCCATCAAATGGTCCAATCCAAGCTCCGTCCCAACTGGAGATGCCTTCCAGTTCCAGCCCTCCAGTTGCAGGGCAAGATGTCCTTGACTTTCAGAGAAAGGAATGTTATTTTGCCTACATATCACCCTGGCTCCATACAATCCCCCCTCCCAGTTTCCCACAGTAATAAATGTGGCAGGCCTGAAGACCCAACGAAAAAAGATGGCTTCCAGGCCTGACAATGGGATGTAGAAGACATACTGTAATCCTGAGCTTCCAGTCTACATCAAACTGACTCTCACATTTTCATTGAAAAAAGAGAGAGAATTTTTCACTATTGCTTTCAGACTCAATAGGGGTGGTAAGTACTATGCAACAATTTTTCTGTTAATAATTATTTGTAGCTCTTCTTCCTTTTATGAAGGGGAATGGCATCCTTCGGGCTTATTGATCATCTTTCTTTTGGGTTAATACAATACAGATAGTCCTCAATTTACAACAGTTTGTTTAGTGATCCTTTGAAGTTACAACTGCACTGAAAAAAGTGACCGTTTTCCACACTTACAACCGTTGCAGCTTCGGCCGCTTCAAAATTCAGCCGCTTGGCAACCAACTCATACTTATGACGGTTGCAGTGTCCTGGGGTCATGTGATTCCCCCTTTTGCGACCTTCTGACAAGCAAAGTCAATGGGGAAGCCAGATTCTATAACAGTAACAGAGATGGAAGGGACCATGGAGGTCATCTAGTCCAACCCCCAGCTCACGCAGGAGACCTGTACTAGGGATTTGAACCACCAACCTTTCTCATCGACAAACTCAGTGTCTTAGCCACTGAGCCACCTTTAAAAACCGTGTTGCTAACTTAACAACTGCAGTGATTCACTTAACAGCTGTGGCAAGAAAGATCATAACATGGGGCAAAACTCTCTTAACAACTGTCTCACTTAACCAGCAGAAATTTTAGGCTCGGTTGTGATCATCAGTCAAGGACTGCCTATATTATCCATTACTCAAAAGCAATAAATCACAGGGTGAAGCAGTGGTGAAATGAAAATTTTTTTACTACTGGTTCTGTGGCCGTGGCTTGGTGGGCGTGGTATGGCTTGGTGGGCGTAGCTTGGTAGGCATGGCAGGGGAAGGATACTGCAAAATCTCCATTCCCACCCCACTCCAGGGAAAAGATACTGCAAAATCCCCATGCTCAAATTTCCGCTACCGGTTCTCCAGAACCTGTCAGAACCTGCTGGATTTCACCCCTGGGGTGAAGGATGTAGAATGAAATCATTTAGCAAGAATATAACTCATAACCATGACTTTGTAATCCATGTTTTCAGTTATTAGGTGAAGAACGATTTCAGGATATTGAGAAAATTAAAACCATCGGAAGCACATATATGGCGGTATCAGGCCTATCGCCTGAAAAACAGGTAAGGAGCTAATCTGATTTTCTAACACATATTTGTCTTGTTTCAATAGAAGGACAAGAAGGAAGCCACAGCCCAACCAAGACTAGCAGGGCAAAGCATTATATATAAACAACCCACAAATTCCACTCTCCCTCACACAGATGAAGTCACCTAATCTGATAACATATAGGAAACGACAAGCTTGGAGCACACAAGAACTCAACAGTTGTAACCTGAGCTACATAGATTTCCAACTATGGATTTCAAATACTTTTCTATTGCCAGCATTTTTTTTTCCCATTTCTTATTTCTTCGTCATTGATTTAAGACACCGACGAAGGAAGATTTGTAAGCAGATGTGGGGTAGAGCTGCATATTTTGTTCCGGTCCCATCTCTTACTCTTTGCCAGTTTGAGATCCTAATAAAGCAGAGTTGTGAATTGCGCAGAGGGGTTGTTTGCTTTAATATTTCTTCAGAAACCTAATTCCCCAAAAACGGTCTTATGTCTAAGTATATTTACCCGTGTAGTATGGCTGCATTATTTTTATCCTTCACAACTGTTCCACTACCTTCTCTTATTGGTATCATTATTATGATTATTGTTACTTGGATGTTATGATTATAATTACTTGGTTGTTTTGCATGTACACTGAGAGCTTATGCACCAGAGACAAATTCCTTGTGTGTCTATCACACTTGGCCAGGGCCGGATTTAGGTGAAAAGAGGCCCTAGGCTATTCCACTTATGAGGCCCTTTCACCTATAGTGAAAGTGTAATTTTAATTTTGCTAACAATTTGAATGTAGGGAATGTAGGCCCCTCTTGATCTTGAGGCCCTAGGCTGAAGCCTAGTTAGCCTATAGGAAAATCCGGCCCTGCACTTGGCCAATATTCTGTTCTGTTCTGTTCTGCTCTACTCTGCTCTAATCTATTCTATTATAAAATGGCATCCAAGGACAAATTAGATAGATGAACCGAAGAGGACTAGAATCTTCCTATGTTTCAAAGAAAGCTCTCTTTGTTGTGGTGTTGCGATATTGTGGTATTCCAAAAAGAGAAAAGCTTCTCTCCTGACTAATATTCTGCAACCTTTAACTTCAATTCTCTGAACTGTTTCAGAATGTGGCTCCATTTTGATGGAGCAGCTGATCAGCCAACACACACGATGCATTGATTCTGTCTTTCATTCCTCAGCAGTGTGAAGATAAGTGGGGCCATTTATGCGCCCTGGCAGATTTCTCCATTGCATTGAATGAAAGCATTCAAGAGATTAACAAGCATTCTTTTAACAACTTTGAGCTTCGCATCGGTAGGTATCTGCTGAACGTTTTTAAGTGACCTCCACAGTGTCCCAGATGAGCAGGGTTCCCATCAGCTGAAAAGAATGCCTTCATTTATTGAATCACTTAAGTGCTGCTTGCCATAGGTAGAAATGTCACCGAAACGTACAGAAGCATTCCTTTGAAAACCTAAAGTTACTTCCCCCTTGATGTGAGCAAGCAAGTCGTCACAATATAGTTAGATTGATTGAGTGATTGATTGATTATTCTTTTATTTATTTTGTCAAGCATGTATTAGATAACAGATATAAGTATAAACATGATTATGAATACACGAAATGGATACGAATAAATGGGGACAGTAGGACAAGGACAGTAGGTACGTTGGTGTGCTTATGCACGCCCCTTAAAGACCTCTTAGGAATAGGATGAGATCAACAGTGGACAGTGTAAGGTTAAAGTTTTGCAGGTTTGGGGAAGAAACCACAGAGTCAGGTATTGCATTCCAGGCATTGACCACTCTGTTGCTGAAGTCATATTTTCTGCAATCAAGTTTGGAGCGGTTTACCTTAAATTTGTATCTATTGTGTGCTCGTGTATTGTTGTGGCTGAAGCTGAAATAGTCATTGACAGGTAGGACATTGTAGCAGATAATTTTATGTACTACGCTTAGGTCAGACCGAAGACGGCATAGTTCTAAGTTGTCTAAGGCCAAAATTTCAAGCCTGGTGGCATAAGGCGTTCTGTTGCGAGCAGAGGAGTGGAGGACTCTTCTTGTGAAATATCTCTGGACTCGCTCAATTGTATTAATGTCCGATATGCAATGCTGGTTCACTGGAGACCTCAAATTTTATAGGATTGCTCTGTACCATAACCGTAATTTGCTTTTTTCTTCTTCTTAGGTATCAGCCAGGGCTCGGTTGTAGCTGGGGTTATTGGTGCTAAGAAACCACAGTATGATATCTGGGGCAAAACTGTTAATTTAGCTAGTCGAATGGACAGTACTGGAATTAGTGGCCGAATACAAGTGCCTGAGGACACCTATCTGATCTTGAAGGACCGGGGATTCGCCTTTGACTATCGGGGAGAGATTTACGTCAAGGGCATCAGCGAGCAAGAAGGCAAAATCAAAACCTACTTCCTCCTGGAAAGAGTCCAGCCCAACCCTTTGACCATGCAACCAAGAAAACTAACAGGACAATATTCCTTAGCTGCTGTCGTGCTGGGGCTCGTGCAATCTCTGAACAGGCAAAAGCAGAAGCAAATTTTAAACGAGAACAATAATTCAGGCATCATTAAGGGTCATTACAATCGGCGGACTTTACTAACTCCGGGCGGGTCCGAGTCAGCTGCCCAAGCAGAAGCCGCCGACAAGACGGATTTGCCATAAGCCTGCATCTTCCTTGTGATTTCTTTCCTTTCCTTTTTTTTTTAATTTCTTTTATATATGAAATAAATATATAAATAAATATGTTTTAATTTTTTTTAGAACCAGCTTTTTTTTTTCTTTTTCTTTAAAAGGGGTCCGTGGCATCCACAGCCGCACAGTTTTCCAGCGGCAGCTCATCCAAAGTTGCTTTTAGCAATGCTTCAAAGGTCCCTCTCCAATTCAAAAATCCAGGTTCTGATTTTGGAGTTGGGACATCTGAGATTTGATTCCCTCCCACACATTTCCGTGCTAAAAAAAACCCATGTGGTAGGGATTAGGCAGACGGCGACTGGACTAAGCTTTGAATTGAAAAGATCTAAAGTCCTTTTTTAACTATTCACCAAGATGGGTAGAAAAGGTTAGATGTTTTTCCAGCCTCTGAGGTTTCAACATACAGCTAGTCCTCAACATACAACTGTAATGGAGCCTGCCCATCAGAGTCAACCGTAATGGAACCTGCTCGTCAGCTCGTTCTCAACGTACAACCGTAATAGAGCCTGCCCATCAGGGTCATAAATTGTGACAGTCATAAAACAATCACTGCCTGATTTTACAACCATGTTTGCAGTAAGTGTCAGGGAATTGAACAGCCAGTGTCCAAATGGAGTCAAGGGTGCTGAGATGAATTTCTAGTTTTATATAAATAAATATATTTTACACTTATATTTGCAGCAAACAAGATAGGCACTTCACTACATCATGAGGTAAATTGTCAGGTAAATAGCAGAACGGCACCCAGAAGAAAAAAAAGGCGGGAAAAAGGGAAACACCTCCTTTACCCCCGACAACCAATCATAACATAGATTGCCTCATGCAGGAGTCCACACTCTCCAATCAATCAATTCCAGCTGCGTGTTGCGGGCCATTATACCATTTACTGTTTCAGCTATTAAATATGTTAACATTAATAGCAATAACGCTTAGACTTATATACTGCTTCACAGTGCTTTACAACCCTCTCTAAGCGGTTTATAAAGTCAGCCTATTGCCCCCAACAATCTGGGTCCTCGTTTTACCGAACTTGGAAGGAGGGAAGGCTGAGCCAACATTAAGCAAACATGGTGACTGTAAAACAGCACCACAGTCCTTAATGTCATATTCGCTTAAGGACCACTAAGTGAACGAATGGTTCACTATGGGGCATGGTTTTGCTGAAAAAGGAAATAAATGCCAGGTTTGGGCAAAACCATCCTAAAACATTGGTCATATGACCGCAGGATGCTGCAAATGATTGTAAATGCAGCCCTGTTTCTGAACACTCAAAATTGAGCCACCGGTAGAGGGGTGATAAGGAGTCCCTAAGTAGATCCAGCATACGTATGAACAGTCACTAAGTGACTGGTCATAAGTTGAGGACTAACTACCTATTCGTGCTATTCCTTTATGCAGTAAGCAAATGCATAAAACAAGTGCACACTATGCAGAGTGTGAATCCTGAATGTATGTGAAGGTACTGCATAGGCCTCGTCATTTGTTTATTTATTTGTAAAATGTATCAAAGGAGCATGCTATGCTTGTCAGATGGAAAACTGATGGACCAGTTTTGAGATCTGAGCGCCACACAAGTGGGTTGAGCTCCGGTTCCTTGCCTCAGGTCCTGCCCACCAACCTAGCAGTTCGAAAGCATGCAAATGCAAGTAGATAAATAGGTACCACTTCGATGGGAAGGTAACAGAGTTCTATGTGCCTATGTATATAGCCATGCTGGTCACATGACCACAGAAGCGATATCAGACAACAGTGGCTCCAGCAGCCAAGAAACAGAGATGAGCACCATCCCCTAGAATTGGGTATGACTGGATGGGAAACGTTTACCTTTTTAAAAATGTATTGGCCACTCATCTTACCACAGAGTAAATAACTCTGGGCAGCTTATTGCAATACAAACAAACAATACATTGGCTTGTAAAATAGTCTCTAGATTAAAGATCCTACTTTGCATAGAACAACTGAGTATCTTGGGGTAGAATAGAATAACAGAGTTGGAAGGGACCTAGGAGGTCGTTTAGTCCAGGGGTCTGCAACCTTAAACCCTCAAAGAGCCATTTGGACCCATTTCCCACAGAAATGAAAACACCGGGAGCCACAAAAGCTGGGTGGGCGTGGCCAACTCGACGTCACTCACTTCCACTAGTCACATGACCACCACCCCTTAGCCACGCCTACCCAGCCGGTCATTAGGGCAGAGAACCGGTTGTTAAAAAACACCGGGAACCACAAAACCCTTTTGACATCTCTCCCTCTCCCCTCTCTCTCTCTCTCCCCACCTCTCTCTCTCTATCTCTCTATGTCTCTCTGTCTCTCCCCCTCTCTATATCTCTCTGTCTCTGCCCCAGCCACTTCTCCATCACCCGGCGTCGCCCTTACTTTCTCAGGCCAGGCAAGGAGTGACTGGGAGGGGAGGGCGAGAGGTGGGGCCATCCAGTGGTGGGATCACCTGACGGAGCCACAGCAGAGGGCCCAAAGAACCACATGCAGCTCCAGAGCCGCAGGTTGCTGACACCTGATCTAATCCAACCCCCTGCTTAGGCAGGAAACCCTACACCGCTTCAGACAAACGGTTATCCAACATCTTCTTAAAAACTTCCAGTGTTGGAGCATTCACAACTTCTGCAGGCAAGTTGTTCCACTGATTAATTGTTCTAACTGTCAGGAAATTTCTCCTTAGGTCCTAAGGAGCTTAGGCGAAGCTCCTAAGTTGCTTCTCTCCTTGATTAGTTTCCACCCATTGCTTCTTGTCCTGCTGTCAGGTGCTTTGGAGAATTGCTTGACTCCCTCTTCTTTGTGGCAGCCCCTGAGATATTGGAAGACTGCTCTCTTGTCACCCCCTAGTCCTTCTTTTCATTAAACTAGACATACCCAGTTCCTGTAACCGTTCTTCATATGTTTTAGCCTCCAGTCCCCTAATCATCATTGTCGCTCTTCTCTGCACTCTTTCTAGAGTCTCCGTTTTTTTTTTAACATCATGGTAAATATGCTTATCTGGGTGTTGATTGCTGGTGAGTGGATGTTTAGAAATTGAAAGATTAAAGCCCTTCAAAACATCCTAAGCAAAACACCCAGCAACCCCGGAAGAAAAAACAGGAGTCATCTACAACCTACAGTGTAAGAACTGCAATAACTACTATGAAGGGCAAACAGGCAGAAGACCGGCAGAACACATCCATGTACACCAACTGGCAGTCAGAAGGCATGATGAAAATTCTTTAATTTCACAACATATAGACAGATTTAACCATAGTTTCAAATTGGGAAAATGTGACCATCCTAGACCAGGCCAGGTCCAAAAATGCCAGGGAATTTTTAGAAGCCTGGCACTCTGACAAATCAGCCATCGATAGACACATAGACATTAACAACATCTATAGACTATGCACGCGGTGGCTCAGTGGCTAAGGCGCTGAGCTTGTCGATCAAAAGGTCGGCAGTTCAGCGGTTTAAATCCCTAGTGCCGCGTAATGGGGTGAGCTCCCGTTACTTGTCCCAGCTTCTGCCAACCTAGCAGTTTGAAAGCACTTAAAAAATGCAAGTAGAAAAATAGCGACCACCTTTGGTGGGAAGGTAACAGCGTTCCGTGGGCCTTTGGCGTTTAGTCATGCTGGCCATATATCACCAAGGAGACATCTTCAGACAGCACTGGCTCTTCGGCTTTGAAATGGAGATGAGCACTGCCCCCTAGAGTCGAGAATGACTAGCACATATGTGCGAGGGGAATCTTTACCTTTATCTTTAGAGACTGTGCAAAAGCGACAATCAACCATACCAAAAGAGAACAAACAGACTCCAGCACCTCCCCACCAGTCATCAGCACTCAGATCAGCATAGATTAACTCCAAGGTTAACACCAGACCAACAATCAAATAAACAATACCCCAATCAAGAAGCTCAGAGAGCACCAAGAATCCTTCAGAAAGATTATTGATTATTGAGTGGAAATATTATTGATCAGGGTTCAGGGCCCACATAATTGTGAAATTCCCTTGTTCCAGCAACCTCTGCAAGCTGCTAAGATCTAATAGGGATGAGTTTTTATGTGTTCCCTCAATCAGAGACTGTCGTCATCAGGGGGCCATAAAAACAATAGTTTTGCAGTTGCTGTCCCCTTCCTCTGGAATAGCATCTCCATAGGCAGGGCAAGCCAGTATATGTAACAGAGAGCAAACCCAGGGGTGAAATGCTCCCAGTTCGGACCGGTTCGCCCGATCCGGTAGCGATGGCAGCGAGTGGTTCGAAGAACCGGTAGCAAAAATCCCTGTACCCCCCACCCCCATCATGCTCAGCTGAGTTGCACGATCATCAGGGTTTTTTCTAAAAAAAAAAAACTTTTAAAAGCATTTTTTCTACAACCTCTTCCGATGAAAAAATGCTTTTAAAAGTAAAAAAAAAAAAAAAGCCTCTGATGATCGCATGGCTCAGCTGGGATCCTCAGAGGCTTTTCAAAGCATTTTTTTTCTGCAACCTCTTGGCCGAAGAGGTGGTAAAAAAAAATGCTTTGAAAAGTCTCTGAGGATCCCAGCTGAATTGCCTGATCGCCAGAGGCTTTTCAAAGCATTCGAAAAAATGCTTTGAAAAGTTAAAAAAAAAAAGTTGGCCATGCCCACCCAGTCACATTATCCCCTCCACCAAGCCACACCCACAGAACCGGTACTAACACATTTTACATTTCACCCCTGAGCAAACCCCACTTCCTTCTAGCACTGATGATGTTATCTAATTAGGTAATGAAACATCTGCCAGAAAGCAACAAAGTTCAGAGAACATGAAGGACCCCACAGTATTTCTACCAAATAGGTAAATTCTGATTTTCCCCCACCCCACCCTAGAATCTCCTTTTCCGCATCACACAGTGAAACAATAGAAACCACAATTGATTTAATTTCTGAAAGCAGGGGCATTAGGCATCAAACTTCAGGAATTAAGGTAGAGAACAGGAAACCCATTTAGACTTAATATTCTTAAGCAAATTTCCCAGTCTTGGCAAATGGCTGATGTATGGACTTCAATCCCCAGAATTCCTCTGCCAGTAGGACCATCACTGAGGATCCTGGGAGCTGAAAT